TTATTTGCAGTAAAATCTCTAGGGAACATTAACCCCCATTGGTCAGCTTCAAACTCCATTAACAATTTATTTGGTTCACAGAATCTCAGGTTAGAAGAGATCTTAAAGGTCCATTTCCAGCAAAAGATGTAGCAGAGAAAGAAAGGAGGCAAACTCTTCGCAGAATAACTCTCATTTACAGTTTCAAGATGAGTCCTAGGGAGTTCTTCACTTCTACCAAACTGCCCGGATTGCTATTCATTAATTTCACTGGAGGTTTCTTTCAGCGCTATGAGGGACCTTGGCAGAGAGGCCAAACACGAGTGGGGCCTCATTCTCAAGTAATATGTTGCTAAATATAAGGCAGCGTAGAACTTAAAACTGCCTGGTTTCCTGCCATGTGGCAGTTACAGAGGGAGGGTCCAGGGTCAAAGCTTGCAGCGCTCCTTTTTGCACACAGAAAGGGAGCGTTTGTGCAAGATTTGGATCCGCTCCTATTCCAATGTCAGTGATGATTTTGCCCTTACCGTTACTGCTCTGTCAGTTCCTTGTCCCTGAGGCTACTGAGACCTTGATAACAGGGCAGATGTCATAAAAGATTTTTTTTTTTCTGCAGCTTTTGATCCTTACCTGGTGACTTCACTCTGGTCAATTGATATAATCACGGAAGTGAATGAGTTCAAGGTAGGAGGCAGGATGTGCCTAAAGCAGGCACAGGATGTGCCTGTGCATCGATGGGGGATGGGCTTCTTTGGCATTGTCTAGGTTTAAGAATCATACTCTTTGAGAATGCGCACATAATTGAAGTGGAAGAGAACTATAGAAGCCATGGACAATAAGATGAATAAATCTATTGATTTGACAGATGAATGAGGTTCCAACTCTTTTTTTAAAAAAATTTTTTTAAACAGAGCTAGGTTTTTCCCTTCTAAATACATATGCATCCAAATGGAAGAATATCCCCTTTGAGTAAGCTAAGTGCTGGCCCAGGGATTGGTTTACAGAGCAGCAAAGTGGTTTGCCCATTCATTTCCTACCTCACTTTCCAATTCTCTCTCATGCTCAGCGCAGTGAATGCTGTGTGTGTGTGCCAAGCAGGGCACGCTCACAGAAGGCAAGAGTATTAGTGGAAAGAAAAAAAGAAAGACACCATGGAGAAAAAATATCAGTGAGCAATTTCGCCACTCTTAGGAAACAACCTCCAGGCCTCAGGAGCCCTAATGCAGCGATTCCTCTTCATCTCATTCAGAAGTTAAAGCCCAGAGGCGGCATGGCTTTCAGAGAGAAGCATTTTGTGCTGCCTCTGCAGTCCTAAACAATAATGGCCCCGGAGTCCCAGAGAAACCTACAGGCTATCTTTCACATTTGATCACGAAGTACCTGGCAGTGGTGGTGGGCTCTTCCTTCCATCTGACAGCAAATGCCCGCAATTCTGAAGGAAAGAAAGAGGAACTGATGTATCCTGAGATTTGGATCCTGACTGAGCTCTTTATCCCATCCCATCAGAAACCCACCAGCCTCTAGGAGGAATAATCCAATGTCCCCATGGATAGATGCAGGCTGTCTGGGTGGCAATTAACTGTGACCTAATAGATCAGTGATGGCGAACCTTTTGAGCTCTGCGTGTCAGCATTTTGAAAAACCCTAACTTAACTCTGGTGCCGTGTCACATATAGAAATTTTTTGATATTTGCAACCATAGTAAAACAAAGATTTATATTTTTGATATTTATTTTATATAGTTAAATGCAATTTAACAAAGAAAAATCAACCAAAAAATGAGTTTGTGTGTCACCTCTAACACGCGTGTCATAGGTTCGCCATCACGGTAATAGATGGTAAAATTTCTGGATTCCAGGTTAGGGCAGGAGGAAGAGATCTGTCCAAAGGGACTGGCCAGTAGTGAGCCTGGGCCCAAACTCAAAAGTCCAAGCATAGTGCTTATGCTTTCCTACCTACAAACAACAATACACCACTTAAAAAATACATATGTTTTTATTGATTTCAGAGAGAGGAAGGGAGAGGGAGAGGGAGATAGAAACATCAATGATGAGAGAGAATCATTGATTGGATGCTTCCTGCACACCTCCTACTGGGGATCGAGCCTGCAATCAGGGCATGTACCCTGACCAGGAATCAACACGAGGACCTCCTGGTGCATGGGATGATGCTCAACCAACTGAGCTGGGACACATTTTAAATTCTCACTGAAAGAAGGTATGTTGAGGAGGGGGGAGGGGGCATCAATAAGTTGCCTCCCCTAGGTGTCCCAACCTGAAATGGAACCTATGGAACCTATAACCTTTTGGTTACACAGTGACGACCAACTAAGCTACCTGAGCAGTGCAATAATAAATTACATTTACTCTAGTTATTCAGAGGCTCTAATCCTTTGTGCTTCCTCTCCTTCCCTCTCCTCTTTCTCCAGTATCCTGCAAAATTTCTAGTACCTTTTAGGTGCTCAAATGAGATGTGTTGAATCAGTCAAATAAGTGAGTAAAATATGTGCCCTTCTGCAAATGATGTAGTTCTTCTGATCTTCCGCTTAATCAGTAAATGGGGGGACAATATTATTTGGTGGGTTGTTCCTTTTCAAGATTAAATAATATAGCATACCTCATACGATGTGTAAATGTCATAAAATTATTTTATGAGTTATGAACTCAACTTATTCATTTTATGACCTTTGAATTTATGAAAATTGAGTTTGCAGATATGATTCAGGTGAGGGGAAGCGGGGGCAGGGAGTAAAGCCCTAGGCAGATAAAAGGATCATTGCCCAAAGCCATAGGTGTGAGGGTTAATTAATCTCAAATACATTTAACCAACGCTTTGGAAAAGATAGGGGAATTGGAAAAGGAAAAAGAAAAAAGGATGAAGGAGTTGGGGAAATAGTGAATACTTTTAAGGTCAATTGCTGTATTACATAAAGGGCATATTTTCTTTTCACAAGAAATAATCCTGTGCCAAAGAAGGTGGGGAGGCTGATCAGCAGAAGGGGGTTGATCTGAACTCCCTCCTGCCGGCTACAGTCACAGTGCTTGATACAGTAATGAAGGCAGTGTAGTCACATATTTCACCTGAACTTCCTCCGTGGTCCTTTTTATACTGAAGTCTCTCACTGTTTCAGGGCTGTGCTTGGAAAAGTTGGAAAACTTTTCCCCTGGTGAGGGAAAAAAAAAAGCCCGCATCAGACTGAATGGAACGAATGAATGAAGTTATTCCATTGGCCCTACAGCTCCATCCACTTCATACCAAATATTCATAGAAACATCTTTCCTCAATTCCGTAACTGTAATTTTACTCTGTGGCGTTGCCTAGAATCTGATGCACGGATTTCGAAAGTCAGCAGGCAGCCGACTTGGCTTTGGAGGCACCCTGGTTGGCTTTTGCAAGAGTGGATGGGCGTACGTGCTGTGTGGTAGCCTCTCCCGGGAGCAGAATGTGTAAAATAAACAGTTGCTGAAAAGCATGGAGAATTAACGAAGTGAAAATCTAGGGTTATTTGTTGGCAATTGACACGCAAGTGACTTCCTTAAATACTTAGTTGTTTAAGGTTCGGAGTGAGGATGAATGAATTGTCGGGGCGCTTGACTCGAAACAGCTTGTAACTCTCCCTAGTCTTTGGGGAAGTGGCAATAAATTAATACAAATTTCGGAGGGAGGAGAGAAAAGGGGCTAAAACCAAGATATCTACACCAGAGCTCTCCTTCCAGCCCTTTGGAAAGTCTCGCTTTTACTGCGCAGACCCTGGAGATTACAGCCCAGAAAACCCGGCGGCGCTAGGACCCGGTTGGCGCCTGGCTGGGGCCACTGTCGGGCGGGCGGGCGGAGGAGGGAGAGGAGGGGGGGGAGATGTGGGGAAAGGAGGGGTGTTAAGGGGGGCGGGGGAGTCATTTATGCAGAGCAGGCGCTGCTGCCATTGCCGCTCACTCTCTCCGCGCGCTGTTTGGAGCCGGAGGGAGCGCAGGGAGCTAGCGAGCGAGCGCTCGGAGCCCGGGCCAGCAGAGGGGGCACCCGGCCGC